TTATTACTAATGAATGAAGGGCTGAACCAGCTCATGAGTCACCCGAACGAGCCATTGTGATCGATCTAATGCAATGAATGGACAAATGAGAGAAACGAATCAATGAATGAAATGCTCAGAACCTGCCTTCCAGCCATGCAGAGAGGGGGCCTGATTCCCCAGGGAGGGGAGGAGAGGCCAGCCCTGAGTCAGAACAAGGTCAAGGGCCAGGCAGCGTCGCTCCATCGCACATGGTGCAAACCCGTGACACCCCACTTAACCACTCCCTGATGATACAGTGCCAAGGCCTAGCAGGATTCCCTGAGTCACGTTTCCTGCAGGCGGGCCTCCAGGCCTGCAACTCTCAGTGTCCCCCGGCCCCACCTCCTGAGCTGGCAGACAATGAATCAGGACTTTGCGGGGTTGGGGAGGGAAACAAGGATCAAAGACTCAGCAGGCCAGTCCAGGGCTGTGGCGAAGCCAGGAGGGGCTGGCTCCTAGCACCTCCCTGGACAAGTTTTCAGATCTTGGAGACCTCTGGGGTAGAGCTGGGGTGCCCCCTGCCCTGGGCCGAGCATCAGGATGCTGAGGTGTCACTTCACAGATACCCCTCCACACACACGATAAGTAATAGTAATGACAATGAAGCATTTATGGAGCCAGGCACTGTGCCAAGGGCTTCTGTTTGTTTCCTCATTTGGCCTCATCAAGGGAGACATCTGACGGAGCCTGCGACACTGCCCACATTCCACCTACTTTTGACCTGCAGAAATGATCACCGCACATCTCGTGCCATCTCGTAGTCTCAATATCCACATGTTGCAGAAAACTGAGGCTCAGAATGGCTGAGCACCCTGGAGAGAAGGATGGGACAGGGGTGTGCGGCCTCCTGGCTCTGGGAGATCCTTGGGGAGCACTTGAAGACAGTGGGGCAGAAGTTAAGAAGGCTGGAGACAGCAGGGCTGCCCGGTGATCCCCGCCAGGGGAATTTGGTGCTGGGGTTTTGAGCAGTTGGAGGCTTAGGCTGGGGCTTTCTTGCCCTCCTTCTGGAGTGGGAGTGTCCAGCGGCTGTGCCTCCATTCATCTGTCCCCCACCCTGGCTGTACTTCACCAAAGGGGTCTACAGAGCCTTCCTGGCGTGTTCATCTGCTTTTGAAAAGGAGACCCAGGGGGAGGTCGCTGCCAACACACAGGCAGTAGGGCGATGGCAATGTTCACGTAGACATGAGTACGGTTTTGTCCGATGAGGGTGCCTTTCTAGAATGTTGCAGCTCCAGGGCCAGCAGCACCACGTAATTGGCCAACCAGCCCCAGATGGTCCTGGGAATCTGGAGACCAGCCAAACTGGAAGAGATTCAGATGCTTTCTGTGCAGGGGGCTGGGGAGGGGAGGGGAGGAGGCAGCCACCCCCCACCCCAAGCGGTTTCTCCCTCTGCCTCCAACTGTGATCACATGGGAACCCTTCACTCCTCAAACCCCGACTTCAAGTATGATTCAACCAACACCACTACCACGGCTTACCGCATAGCTGGGGCGTCTCCTGTCTGTCTACGGAGCCCTGTGCTTAATTAAGTGCAGCGCACAGGGTCTCCAGGAAGTCCCATCATAAGGAGTGAACAGAGGCTGCTGCTCTTTCCCCATTTTTCGGGAAACCGAGAGCAGCCAGAGAGGTTGAGTAACTTGTCCAGAGTCACACAGCTCTAGGAAGTGGAGCCAGGATCCGAACACGGAAGCAAAGGATTCTGGGCCCTTGTTCTTTTGGCAGCTCACACCTCGGCTGCCTCGAGAAACGTTTGCTGAAATTATAGACTTGGTTAAATTCGTTATAGCCCGTCCATAACATGGACGATCCCCTGGCCATTAAAATGGTGATTTGGACTCTTGCTAGCTCTGGGGAAATGCCCGTGGTGTACGGTTAAAGGGAAAAGCAAGTTGCAAGAGTTTGAGACCCCCCCCGCCCCACCTCATTTGTGCTCATTTAGAAAGTGTTTGCGTAGAAAAATGACCAGAAGACTGTTGTATACTACAATGCCGACAGCAGTGACCCCGAAGGAAGGAGAGTCCACAGAGAAAGATGACACTCAGCCCATCAGGCACGGTGCCACCAAGCTGTCCTGCCTCGTATGGGACAGAGGCTCCCATGTCCTGGGAAAGCAGGTGTCCCCATTGATGGAGCCTGGAAGGCGCCAGAGTGAGGGAGAGAGGGGCCGTGACCAGGTGGGGAGGCTCAGGGCCCTGGGGAGTGGGGCAGGGTGGGAGGGGGCAGCGCAGAGGGTGCCCTGGCTGATTCCTCTGCTCCCACCCTAGTTGTCAAACTTGTCAGTGCCGGCCACCAGCTCAGACGTCCCCCCTTGTCCAGGAAGCCTCCCTGGCTGTCCCCACCAGGCGCATGCCTTCCTGGGCCCTTCTCTGGGTTCCTCATGTGGGACTTAGCGCTTCTGACCTCCTCCCATTGACTCTGACCTCCCTAAGGGCCACAGCCACGTGGGGTTTATTTCTATAACCCCAGCACCTCCCACTGGGGCTGCCACTGAGTTGAGCTTTACACCCTCTCGGTGGAGCTCACGGTCACCTCACATTGCGCTTCTACAAGGCCCTTTTTGTGCGTTATCCCATTTATTCCTCACCCTAACCCCCAAAGGGTGGGTACCACTACTGAGTCTCATTTACAGATGCAGAAATTGAGCCTCAGGGGAGCTAAAGAGCAGCCCTAGGTCACACAGCCAGCAAGTGACAGAGCCAGGACCCAGACTGGGGTCGGGCTCTGACCGAAAAGTGGCCCAGAGGGTGCTGACCTTTCTCCACTGGGCTTCGTGAACTGTTAAAATACGGTTTCTCTTTCAATAGCTGCCACGACGAAACCAAAAGCATGGCAACCTAGTGGCAGATAGGAGCTCCGGGATTGCAGTAACTGGCACGGCTATGGCGCCCGCCCTCAATGTTTCTCCTCCTTATCAACTGAGAGACAGGCACATGTATCCCCATTGTAGAGATGGGGAGACTGAGGCCCAGGAGTTCCAGGGTGCCGAGGCCACCCAGCTCTGACGTGACTGAGCCCTGGCTTAGCCCCCAAAGTCTTGGTTGCTGAGTCCAACTCGGCACATGGAGTCGTTGACCCCTGCCTGCACCTGCTAAGGGGCATCTGAGAAATCAACTTCCTGCTCAAAGTCCAGCTCGGCTTTCAGGAAAGGAGCTGGGGGAAAACTGGGAAGAGACAGAGAGGGGCCATGTAGCAGATAGACGTACTTCCTGCAGGAGGAAAGTCTATCCACCACTTCTGGGAAACTGGGATGTTTCAGAGAGAGCATATTGCACCTTGACACCGGTGGAGCTCCCAGCTGTCACTGTTGGCTGCCCCGCCTCCTTCCTTCCAGGGGCATGCAGCTGGCCTGGCTTGGAATCTCCTTACCGACAGACATCCAGGTGTGCCTATCCAGCCATCTGTCTGATCACCAGCTGGTGCTTTGGCCAGCCACGGGGGGAAGGGGCTGGGGTGAGCAACCCAGGCTGGGTCATCAAGCTGAGCCCTGATCCAGCCTGGCCAGGCGCAGCCCCTGTGGATGAGGCAATGTGCGTCCCATTTCCTGTTACTGTGGCTATGCAAATGGGGGGGGGAAATCAGGGCCTCTCCTAGTGCAAGCTTCCCGGAATGAGGCATTGATTGTCCGGAGAAACCTGGCCCCAGGGGGGGCCCCTCACGAGGGGGAGGACGTAAATGACTGAGATCCCTTTCTCTCCTGGTACAGCTCTTGATATAGGAGTCTGCCTGCTGGGGGACTGCCCTGGGCAGATTAGTCACCTGTCCAGCCTACCTGGACCAGCCTCCTGTGAGAGACAGACTACAGCTTCCACATCTCATCACTGCATCCCCAGCTCATGGGGCGGGGAGCAGGAAGCAGAACTGGCCTCACTGGCTCTCAGACCCTATCTCAGAGCTCACCACGCCCAGTCCCCTTCTATTTACAAATGAGGAAACTGAGGACACCAGACTGAGCCAGGGACTTGCCCAGGTCCCGCCTCTCTCCCACTCACCCCAACACACCCCAGCAACAGTGGCAAACTTCCACTTGTCCACAGAAGCCTACTGAGCCTCTCAATCTCTCTTCTGCCTCAGGTCCCAGCCCCAGCCTGGCAGACTGGGATTCTCGCCACACCTCTGGCTGGCCTCCCCGGACCACCACCCCAGTCAGGCTATCCGATCGGTCATTCTCAAGCTCACATCTGACCATGTCACTCTACCGCCCTGGTATCAAGTTTGTGCTCAAAGCTGGGCCCCACAGATGACCCATAATCAGGTCCCTTCCACCACGTGTAGCCTCCTCTCTTCCCACTCACCTCACGCATACCCCAGATGATGCCAGAACTCCTCCCAGTTCCCTCTTGTACCTCTGTAGCTTTGCTCAAGCTGTTGTCTCTTCCTGGGATGGCATGTCCTCTGCTTTTGTTTCTCTAACTCCTATTCGTCCTTCCAGACAGAATCGCCACCTCCAGGAAGTCTTCCCAGATGCCCCCAGTAGGACCAGGTGCCTCCTTTGGGCTTCCCCGCTCCCTGAATGTTCCTCCATTAATTATGGCACACTGGGCTGTCATTGTTCATTTAGTTCCTGTCTTTTCCCCTGGCCTGGGGGCTCTTTGAGGAGCTGGGGGGAGGTAGGGAAATGCAGACGGACGTAAGGCATACTTAGGACATTCAGCCTGTAAGGGTGCTGGTAGATTGGTCATGGGGTAAGGCAGAAGGAGGTGTCAAGGAAGGAGAGACCACCGTGTCCACTGTGCCTCTTCCACAACAAGGAATGCTGGGAGTTGGAAAGACAAGTTGTAGTCATTTTCGAGCCCTTCACTCTCTGAATCTCTTTCCCACTTTTAAGAATCTCACTCCCTGCCCACCATGGGGCATTGGGGCAAGGCAGAGCCGCCTCCCACTGGAGGAGCCCAAGTAGGTAGGCACTAGCTTTCCCATTCTCCCTTGCTCCTAGGGTGTGGCCATGTGACCTGGGCTCAGCCAATCACAGGCACCCACCCTGGAGTTTGAATCAGGAGCTGGTCCTATGAAGAAAGGTTCTGGGAAAGTCTTTCTGGAGGGAGCCTCAGCAATATCAAGCTCCTGAGGTATCTGCAAAGAAGCGTGGGCATCACCAGGTTGGCTCTGTGGCAGAACTGGAGTTGGGGTCTTGTTTCTCATCTTCTGCCTTCTTTTTCATGTGGGCCTCCTGCCTTCTCGAGGGTTCGGTCAGTTCAGTACTGTTCAGTATGTTCTTTTTCTGTTTAAATAATCTGCAGTCGGATTCTGTTGTCTGCCACTAAGAACCCTGAAGGCTTCTCTGGGGAACACCCCTGGAATCAACCTTGAAGGAGGAGTCAGTGTTGACAGGAACAGGAAGTATAGTGAAGGAGAAGGGAACAGGTGACCAGGGTCAAGGTCAGGCTTCAAGGACAGTATAGGAAATGTTGGGGATGACCACTCATCTGGGTTTGGAGTGTGGGGTTCAGGGGGAAGGATGAGGTCAAAGATTCTGGCAGAGATCAGATCTAACATGGCCTCGAATGCCAAGTCGAGAGCAAGTTTGGCTACTATCTTGCAGGCAGCAGGCACCTAGTGCTTTACCTAGCGGTGTGACTTGATCAGATTTTGTTTTAAAAAGCTCCCTCTGCTGCTGTGGGGAAGCTAGACCAGCTGGGGCGGGGACCGGGTGAGAGACTACTGCACTCGTCCCAGCACAGAGTCCTGGAAGCCAGATAGAATGAGGGCGAGGGCAGAGCTGGTGTAGCTGGCAACGGGGAGCCCTCAAAGTTCGGGTGACCTGACATGGCCGTAAGAAAGTAGAGTTCGAACTTCTCGGCTTCCTGGACACAGGTTCAAAATATTATCCGGCCCTCGGACAGTCCTTACAGCTTCTTGGGGTTTTCTCAGGTTTTCACCTCTCAGGGATGAGGTCCTGGGTGACCCCACCCCCAGCCGCCCTTACAGCTTCTTGGGGTTTTCTCAGGTTTCCACCTCTCAGGGATGAGATGCTGGGTGACCTCCCCCCCACCCCCGCCAAGCTGATGTAGACCTTCAGACATGTTTTAGGAATGGAAATCAGGTCTATGAACTCCCTTGGCCATGGGTCCCAGGGGAGGGGCAGAACCAGAGAGTCACCTCGGTCCAGAAAGAGGGACTCAAATGGGGTGGCTGAGATCTAGGAACACATGAGGAAAGGTCAAAGGGTTGGAGAAATGGGGGAAGGGGCACCCAGCCGCCCCCCGCCAACCCTGAGGGAGGTGAGGCAGGGGAAAGAGCTGGGTGAGACGGCAGATGGATGCCAAGTGCAAGCGTCACCCCACCTTACCCCCAAAGTGCACTGGGTTCACCCCTGGGAGTCCTCTGTGCCTTGTAGCTTAGGAAGGGGAAGAATGTCTGGGCTTCTTTTCCCATTTTACAATTGAAAACTTGGAACCCGGAGTCATATAAGGTACTCGATGTTTTTTCTTCCCCAAATTACACAGTTGAAAAGCCAAGTAGGGGACTCCAATGGGCTCTCTCTGTGCCAGTCCCTTCACCTCATTGTGCCTTGGTTTCCTCCTCCAGGAAGTGGAGACATGTACAGCCGTCAGCCGAAGGCCTGGAGGACAGTAAGTATCTTTCAGATGGTTCTTCCATATTCCTTCCTTTCCCGCTGTCTAGAACAGCCCCAGGGGACCCGACCTCCTTGGGGAAGATGGTTGAGCAATTTGACTTGACAATCAGAACTATGTCTTGAAGACAAGGATAAGACCCACCCCAGGGGCAGATTCCACTCTGGGCAGGGTTTGCTAAAGGCCAGGGCAGGGGGGTGGTCCCCCTGAGGTAGGTGGGTGAGAAAAGCAGTGTTGGGGGGGTCATACCTCAGCACAGATATGGGTGGCCTTGGGCATGGCCCTCCCTCACCCATACAATGGGCGAGCCCCCCACTTTGCACCACCGAGCTCAGATTGGACCAAGAGCCTAACTCCCCCACTCCCAAGGCAACCAAGGTCGGAGGCTCCTGGGTGTCCTAATGAGAGATGAGGGCAGCTGTGGGAACAGAGAGAAGCAAATATTTTCTGGAAATAGAGATCAAATCAAGAGCATTTTGCAGCTGTAGCAGAGGCTGTAGCAGGGGACCCACCCAAGTCCCCCTCATTTCTTTACTGCCTCCTCCAGGAGAATTTTCTGTGCCACAGCCATACCCACCCCTCTCGGTCAGAGAACCATTTGCTGCTGACAGTTCACACCCCCCAGGGGTAGATAGGAAGAGGACGTGGGGGTGGAAAACTCCAGCTCACAGATAAGTAATCCTCACTGCTCCAGCACCAGCCCCTTGGTGGCAGCAGGCCTGTCCCTTGCTGAGCCTCCTTCCCGCCCCACGGCCCTACACCCATCCTGGGAATCTGTGGAACCCTCATTTTGGTCTGCTTCTGGGGAAGCCACACCGAGGACAGTCACTGATTAGATTTGGGGCCAAGAGAAAAGGAAGGGCTGAGTCCAGGCTTCGGCTCGGGCAAGGGTGACTGTCTCAAGACGAGCACTGGTCTGGGAGCCCCCCGCAACTGGGGGTGGGTGAGGGGTGCAGCGTTCCCTTGTGGACAAGTCGCTCTATTGGTCACATTGCCAAAAGTGCACCAGGCAGTTCACCATCCAAAAAAGGGTGTCCCCAGCCCAGTGACGCTCCCCTCATAGCTGGGGGCTGACTAGCCTTTTCCTGGTCTGGGCAGGGCTTAGCTGAGGCCTGGACATCTGCACAGGGGGCCAAGTGGGGGCTTTCCTGGAAAGTGCCTCCCAGAGGACAAGGCTGGTCCCAGAAAGAATGAATCATGAGCAAAGCAACCCCATGGAGCCTCTCCACTCCCTTACCCCAGGCCAGGGCAAGGGGGTACCTCCCAAGCTCTGCCTCAAAGGGCACAGCCTCCCGCCATCCTCAGAATTGGAACAGGCAGCCCATAAACCCCACAGGAGCAGAGGATGCACCCATTTGGCAGATGGGGGGCTGTGCCTCAGCCCTGCTTCCCAGCACCTTTCTGCTCTACTAGGCCAAGGCCCAGATTTGCCGTGTGGGAATTCCCCAGGTCCGCCCCCCACCACTCCATAGAGTCATCACAGCACGCGGGGGCCGGTCATCCAAACGCCTTTCCTCGTACAGAAGGGAGAGGGAGTCAAGTTCTGGTTAGACCGAAGACGGGGGACCCCGAGCTCAGGGCCCCTCAGCCCCTCTCCACACCCCTCGACCCTCCCTCTCCTCCACATGATGCCTTGTGGTTGGCGAGCCCCTGCCCCACCCCGCCTAGCCATGAGTCCTGGAGCAAGGCCAGAAGGCAAGTTCCAGCACTGGACACACCAGGGACCCCCGAGAGAGGGCGAACCCCTTCCTTCTGGAGCGGAAGCCAGCTCCTGCTCTGCAGTTCCCACCAGGCTTTGTGAAGCGAGCAATTGGCAGCAGGCATGGGCTTCCCCGTCGACCGGTTCTCCGCAGAGAAGGATGGGGGGGCTGGGTGGACACATTATCCTGCGTTGGGTCACTCTCTCCCTGTGGTCCCTCCCAGCCTTCGTAACCCCCTCGCCCAGCCAGCTTCTACCTTGACATACTGGCTCAGCTGCCCCCTGCGGGCCACCTACATAGCCATCTTCCAAGGGTGAGGACAAGGAGCAAGCTCCGTCCTCCCTTCTCCAACCCCAGAGTGGGATCCTTGAACCTTAATAATAAGAGCCAAATCTTAATTAAGTGTTTACCCCATGCCTGGCCTTTGGCTGAACACTTGGCCCCAGTTGTACTGATGATCTCCATTTTTCATATAAGGAAACTGAAGTTCAGAGAGGTTAAGTGACCTACCCCAAGGCACACAGATAGTACATGTTGGGGCTCTTATGTGACCCTCAACCCCTGGCTTTTCCGAGTCTTCATAAACCCGTGTTGTGGATTCAGCCACACATACTTAAGGAGGACTTCTGGCAGCTCAAGAAATAGTTGTGGAGTGAAGAATCACAGCTGCTACTCATCGAGGGCTGCTGAAGTTTTTATTTACTTATTTGACATTCAGTTGATCTTTCTGAAAGATTGTGCAAAGTGCCAAAGGGACAAAAGGATGCCCCCCTTCTCTGTCCCTCAGCTACCTGGCTCCCTCCATGATATATTTACTTTGAGAGAGAGAGAGTTAATGCATTCATTCCAATGTTAGGATACTACACACACTGTATTAGTCTCTTACTGCTGAATAACAGATTAGCCCCAAATTTAGCAGCTTAAAATAACAATATACCTATATTTTCTGTCAGTTTCTGAGAGTCGGGAATTAGGGAGCAACTCAGCTGGGCTCGGGGTTTCTCATGAGGCTGCCCTTGAGTTGTCACCTGGGGTTGTAATCCTCTGAAGGTTCAACAGGCTGCAGGACTCACCTCCAAGACGGCTCACTCGTGTGGCTCTTAGCAAGAGGCCTCAGTTCCTCACCACACGGATGCTTGAGTGTCCTCATAATACGGCAGATGGCTTCTCCCTAGGCAAATGATCGAAAAGGGGGCAAGGTGTAAGCCGCACGTCTTTTATGAGCAAGCGTCAGAAGACACACATTTCTGCCATCTATCAGTTACTCAGGTCACTAGTTAAAGCCAGAAGAGGGCCTCACAAGGGTGTGAGGAATAGGAGGTGAGAATTATTGTGTCACCTGCAGGCTGCATCTCATCCTTCACCTTGCCTTTTTTTTTTTTTTTACTGAGCCATGGTGTTCAGAATAGTTCCATATCGATACGCAGAGAGAGACTATTTTTCTTGACTGCATAGTATTCTGCGTGGAGGCACCATGATTTATTTACCCAGTCCTCTATTGAGTCCTCTACGTGGGCTGTTTCTGATCTTTTGCTGTTACAGTCAGGGCTGCAATGACTGTCTTTGCACAGGAATTATTTCCAGTATATCTGGAGGAGCGATACTCAGGGATGGTGGGGAGGAGGGACAGGGTGGCCTGAGGGGAGAGAACCTCAAGTGCTAGAAATGTCCTAGATCTAGACCCAGGAGGCAGTTCCATGGGCATACACCTATATCCATATATATCAAGTTGGACACTTCGTATGAATGCATGCTACTGATTGTATATTTTTGTTCAATAAACACTTTCAAAAATCATTTAAAGAAGTTGTTGTTGGATTATAGGAATTGCAGGAAAGAAGTGCTGATACACAGTACAGCGTGGATGAACTGGGAAAACATAGCGCTCAGTGAAAGAAGCCGGACACTAAAGACCACGTAACGTACAATTCCATTTATATGAAACGTACAATTCCAGTGTGTGTGTGTGTGTGTGGGTGATTGCCAGGGCCCGGGGGAAGGGGCCATGGGGAGTGACTGCTGATGGCTACGGGGTTTTATTTGGGGGTAAGGACAACATTCTGGAACTAGATAGTGATGATGGTTGTACCACTTTGTGAATGGACTAAATGCCACTACACTGTACAATTTTAAATGGTGGCTTTTATGTGATATTATCCTACAATGGTTTAAAACGTAGTTGACGATCAAACAAAATATTTGAACTTCACTCTTGATCCACACAATGCTCCTTCATGCGATGTCCTATTTTCTCTGTTTTGCAAGTGAGGAAGCTGAGGCCCAGAGAGACGAGGGACATGTCCAAGGTCACATAGCCTCCCCAGACCTTGGCCGTGAGCCATTGCCACCATTACAGGAAGTGTTCTTGGAAAGCAAGCCAGCCCTGAGTTCCTTGTAGAGATCAGAGGAGCCACAAGATCCCCTGGCCAGGGCAGACGTCCCCGCCCTAGTTGCTGGTGACACTTCCTCCAGGGAGGCGGGACTGGAACATGCAGGTCTCAGCCCTGAACAGCATGTCCTCTCCCCTCACAGTTCTCGGTAGGTGAGGAACAGTCTGTCCTGTCGAGTTTCCTGTCACCTTCTCTGGCTGCCTGCTGGCAGCGGGGGAGCCACTCCCAGCTGGGCTCTAGAGGGCCTGGTCTCTGGGGTTCTCAGTGTGTGTATGTGGTAGAGGTGGTCTTGGGCCATCCTGAACTTGGCTCTCCCTAAAAATATTTTTTTTAGTCAAACCAAGTGGTGCATGGTGATGTGATAAAAATAAAATGCAGAGAAACGAATAGATGCCCCACACCTAGAAGGAGCGTGGGTAACAGTTCTCCCTTCTCCCCCCTCACTGCCCTGCCCTCGTTCATCTCTCCCTCCTTCCCTTCTTTTCTTTCCACAAACATTTATTGAGCGCCTGCTGTATGCCAGCCACTCACAATTCCAGATACTGGAGACACACTAGTGAACAAATCTGAGTTTCAGCTATTGTGCCATTTACATTCTGGAGGGACTTTGCACACAGGCACACGTGTGCACACGTGTGTGTGCATGTGTGTGTGTGTGTGTGTGTGTGTGTGTGTGTGTGGTTAACTATACATGCGGATAGTGGAGAAGGCAAGCTAAGATGTTTCTTTAGCACTTACTCTGAGCTGTTCAATATACTCACTCAGCTAATCCTCAGGACACCCCCATGAAGCAAACAGAGGCCCAGAGAGGTGAAGTGACTTGCCCAAGGTCACAGAGCCAGCCAGTGGCAGAGCCGGGATTGAACCCAGGCTGCTTAACCACTGTCCTGAACTGCTGCCGTGACAGTGGCAGCAAAAATACAGATGTTAATAAATCAGTTTCTCTTTCCAGCACAGGCTCATTGTTCACTGCTGTTTTGTCTTGACGGGTTTTGTTCATCCCCAAATCCTCCTAGCTCATCATAGTAGATGCCAGTGATGTCAAAGTCTGCATAGTCGGCACCACCCCCAGGCAGCCCCTTCACCCCCATTTCTATTTCCATAGTTTGGGGCATCAGGCCCACCAGCCACATGGGGGCTGCCTGGGTCAGGAGGGGTGCCCCCCAGCCTGGCTTCCCAGGCCCAGAGTCGCCTCCCCCTCCCTGAGGCCCAGTCTGGTTTCTCTCTCCGGCAGCATCTGCAGTCCCCCTGCTGTCACCCGCAGCTATTCTTGGCCTCTGGCCCCTTTCACTTTCTGCTCTGCCTCTTCCTGCCTCGGTGGTTCCCCGACATCCCCTGCTCCCCCTTGCTGCTCCAACTTTCTCTTCTTGCCCCTCTCTCACTGTGGCTGGCCCTGGCTCAGCCCAAAAGCCATAGCAGAGGCCAAATGTAGAGCTCTGTGAGCTCTGCATTCAAGTCCCCACTCTGTCCCTTTCTGGCTGTGTGACCTTGGCAAGAGGCATCTTCCCTCTGAGCATCATGTCCCCTCTGGAAAGGGAGATGCTGCTTGCGCCTAACTTGTAGGGCTGTTGGAAGGATGGAGGCTCCCAGGAGAACCTCCCAGGGTTCTCATCCTAGCACAGGACCCAGCACATAGTAGGAGTGCAGGTATCCTTCCCCCGCAGTGGGACTGCCACAGCTGGTCCCCAATGGGCTAGGGCGTGGAGGAAAGGAAAGCAGCGAAAAGTACAGGCGGGGCAGTCAAGACAGCCCCGGACTGGGCTCCAGCTCTGCTCCGCCGTGAGCAAGTCACTTTCCCTTTCTGAACCTCAGTTTCCATATCAGTGAAGTGAGGCGGCTGGACTGAAGGATGAAGAGTCATAGTGCAGTGATGAAGGCAGGGTTAGAGGAAGCCCAGGCGACACCTGAGCTGAGTCTCAAAGGAGAATAGTGTTCATAAGTCACAGAAGGTGGGCTGGAGCAGTGGAGAGGGAGAAATAAGCAGGTGCAAAGGTCCGAGGCCAGAGGATATGGGGCTTAGGAAAGGGCAGAGGGGCAGGGGAATGAAGGAGGCTGGTCTGCAGCCACAGAACACACAACCTGCTAACCCTCGATCAGACCTGGCCTCCCAGGCAGTAGGGAGCCACGGTGAGGTGATAAGCTTCAGTTGGCGAATCTGTCTCCCAGCCACGCTGAGGCTTCCTGAGTCAGGGGCCAGGCCTCATCAGACTTCAAGTTCTCTGCATCTAGCACAGAACCTGCGTGGAGTGGGCAGGAAGATGTAGGCAATGAATGAATGAATGAATGAATGACATTTCCTACTCCTATAAAAGGCCTAGCTTCCACTGAGTAGTTAACTGAGCAAGGCAGTCAATCCCATGTCAGTTGGCTACTGCTGCCTAACTGGCCTCCCCAGAATGAGCAGCTTAAAGCAAGAAGCAGTTACAGTTGCTCAGGAGGCTGTGGGGCAGCCAGGTAGCTCTGGTCTGGGCAGAGCTAGAGCGATGTGAGTTGGTGCACTCTTGCATTTACAGTAAGCCGATGGGTCAGCTGGGGCTGGCTGGTCAGCTGGGGCTGGGACCTCACAGATTGCAACAGCCAGGACGGTTCCTCTCCACTCTGCATGACCTCGTATCATCCAGCGGGCTAGTTCGGTGGTTGCAGAGTGCCAAGAAAGCAAGTAGAAGCCAGAAGGCACCTTGAGACTTAGGTAGGAAGCAGTACAGTCACTTCATTCCTCCCAATTGACTAAAGCCTTGGGACAGGATATAGACTTCTTAATGAGAGGAACAGAAAAGTCATATTGTCAAGGGCATGTATACAGAAAATCAGGGCCATTTTTTTCAATCAGTCTGACACCCTCTCCAGTACTCATTCCATAGCAGTTAAGGAAGTTCTAGTCACTGGTCAGTGATTGTTTCATCAATGGGCAGGTCACCCAATTCTGGCCAATAGGATATGGGACGGCTGCTAGGAGTTTTCTGGGAAAGGTTTTCTTGCTCCTGGGAAGAGATGGTTTCTGGCGTTCTTCTGGATGTGACACCTGGAACTTCATCGGCCACCCTAGATGAAACCAACCTGCAGATGTCAGAGCAGAGAGACAGTAGGAACCTGGGTTCACGGCGGCCTGGTGGACCGGCCAAATCAACCAGCCCAGAAATCCCCCCTACCTCTGGACTTCCTGTTGAAAAAGATCTTACATTTCCAGCTTCTCTAAGCCACTTTAGACCAGGTTTCCTGTTACTTGGACCAATGCCCTAGGGCCTCGGGGCCCCTTTTGGGCTCTGTGAACCTCTTCTGCCTGAATGGGCCAGGTCAAAAGCTTAGGGGCTCCCAGATTTTCTCTTCAAGGATGGTGGAAGGTCTCAAGTACAGCCCCCAATCTCCTGCCTCTTGTTTTGCAGAAGGCCCATCACCTGCCCACTGCACAAAGGACTCTTGGCCCCAGCAGCCAAAGCAGCAGCCGTCAGCCTGGATTCAGAAGCCCTGGGTTCTGGTGAGTCGTTGGGCTCTGTCCTTCACTGCAGTACCAGGCAAGTCTCTTAACCTCTCTGAGCCTTAGGTCACTCTTCCATAAAATGAAGAAATGAAACCTACCTTTTGCATGGTTCATGCTTAATGACGGCAAGTTGAAAATATTTGAGAGGCTCCTTCAGGCAATGAAAATTTGCATCCCTATACCTTTTTATAGTTTCTAATTTGCTTCCTAGTACCTAGGCAATAATAATAACAACAGTAATAATAATAGCCAGCAATTATGGAGCCCCTACTACGTAGATCCCACAGAAACCGGGTGAGGTTAATGTTCGTTGCTTTAAGCAGCTGTATGGGTTTTCTATTGCTGCGGAACAAATGACCACAAACTTTGCAGCTTAAAACAACGCGATTTTATTTTTATTTCTACTTATTTATTTATTTTAGGCGAGGCAACCCTTGGTTGACCTCACAGATTGCAAGGACCTTGTTAGTTCACAATCCCTTATTTTTTAAGCCTACGGCACCTGGTCTTCCTAGGTGGTCTCCCATCCAAGTACTAACCAGGCCCGACCCTGCTTAGCTTCCGAGATCAGATGGGATCGGGCTCGTTCAGGGTGGCATGGCCGCAGACATGATTTTATTATCTCACAGTTTTCCTAGGTCAGAAGTTGGGACCAGCATGGCTGGATTCTCTGCTCAGAGTCTCACAGGGCTAAAATCAAGGAGTCAGCTGGGGTTTGGGCTCCCATCTGGAGACTCTGTGGAAAAAAGCCCCTTCCAAGTTCATTCTTGATTTTGGCAAAATTCAGTTTCTGTGGTTGTAGGACTGAGATCCCCCTTTCCTTCCCAGGTATTAGCCGGGGGCCGCTTTCAGCTGTAGCCGTGACCCACACTCCTTGCCCTGTGGCCCCTCCCCCTCTGCTCCAGCGTCAGCTCATCAAATCTTTCTTGTACTTCAAATCTCTGACTTCCTCTCCCGGCACCAGCCAGAGAAAAAACGCTCTGCTTTTAAAGGGTTCGTGTGATTAAGTTGGGCTCCCCTGGACAGTCCCTCTTCTGTGAAATCAACTGTGCCGTAAAACATAACCTCATGTGGGAGCAGAATCCATCAAATACAGGTCTGGGGGTTCGGCAGGGTGGCAGGAAATAATGGGTCTATCTTAGAACCCTGCCTACCATAGCTGCTAAGAATTGGGGTAACTTTTTACACAAAAGAGAAAATGAAGGCTGGAGTTGATGAGCTTTTCCGGTACAGAGGCTCATGTCTGTCCGTTTCAGAACATCTTTTCCCTTCATTTCTTCTTTTCTCTCTTTAATTCCTCTGAGACTGATGTGAGATCTTGTGGAATCATCTTCTAATTATTTTCTTACCTTTTCTCTCGTATTTTCAACCTCTTTGTCTTCCCGGGAGATTTCCTCAGCCTTCTCTCCCAATGCCAATATGGATGTTTTTCTTTCTACTCTCATCTCTCTAGTTCTTTCTTGTTCGTTGAATGTCCCTTTACATAGCCTCTTGTTCTCGTTTTACGGATGCAACATCTTTTATTTCTCCGAGGGTTTTCTGTGGTCTTAAAGGGCTTCCCTGCTCCCTGAATCAGCTGTTTTCTAGGAATTCTTTTCCTCTGCTTTGGTCTTTGCCTTTCGTGTTATAAGCTTGCTTCATGTGTCTGGTGGTTGTTGGCTGTGAGTTCATATTGAAGACGGGAAACTGAAGACAGACAGATCCTCAGAATCTCCATTCCTACAGGCAGGGCATGTGGACAGGTGACTCTCATCCAGGCGACCTGGCAGGATCTGGCTGTCATTGTAGGAACTCAGAGTCAGCATCTGAAGTGTCTTCTCCTGGGGAGGTCAGTGTCTACAAAGAGGACTGCCCTAGCCTCCTCTCTGGGGGAAAGCAGGGCTGCCAGCCACCAGAGACTAAGCAGGAGGCTGGGGAAAGGGACATCTTGCTGATTGGCATGTGGCCTTTCCCTTCATCCCTTGTGTCATGCCTGACCCCACCCTCAATTCAACCTGCTATCCTCAAGTTGGAGGCCTCCCACACAGTTTTTATTTAGATGGTATGTTCATTAGGGGTGTGAGGTGAGCGACTGTTAGAGGTTGAAGGGCTAAGTGCCCTTCAACCCCACATTATCCCTTGGCACCTGTGTGCTGCCAGGTGAAGGGGTATAAAATGAACCAGACCTGTTCTGCCCTCAAGATTGAGAACCTACTAATTTCTGAGCACCTACTATGTGCCAGGCACTGAATTTAGATCAGGGTCTTTCCCTTAGGAATATTTGGCCATGTCTGGAGACATTTTTGGTGTCATAACTGGGGCCTGGGGATGGGTACTAATGGTGCCTAATGGGTAGAGACAAGGGATGCTGCTAACCATTCTGTAATACATAGAATAGCCCACACAGCAAAGGGTCACCCAGCCTTCAAGGTGATAGAGCCGAGGTGGAGAGACTTCTCTCCAGAATGAGACAGGTTCGCTGACTTCATGGGAAAGGAGCAAGGAACTTCTGTTTCCTTAGTACCTACTCTCTGTTTCACAGCGGCCCTGGGCCTAGGGATCCTCAGCCCCATTTTCTGGATGGGGAATCAGAGGCTGAACCAGCAACGAGGAGGATACAGGCAGTGTGCTTGGCCTATGCCAGGTTGTGTGAGGGACACAAATGCCAGCCTTCCTGCCCAGCCTCCTCCTCCCCCTTCAGCCTCTGAGGAGAGCAGAGGGTGGCAGCGGCTGCCAGTGTGTGAGCCGGCCCAGACCTGTGGCCCTGCCTGACGTTGATCCCCACCAAGCCATGTGACGAGACTAGGCCACAAGAAAGAGGTTTCAACAAGCGTTATCGCTTCCTGGAACTCCGACTCGGTGACTTCCCCGAAGACCGGCTGTGCCTAGCGGGCGGGCTGTGCACAGTGGGGACCAGGCTGCCCCTTTCCTCCTCCACTGTCTCCGCAGCTGCCACCCTCTATCTCAGTCTGACTACCTGGAAATACGCCCCCCCGCCCCGGGCCCAGTGGCTCTACAGCTTGGCTGTCAGTTCAGCAACCTCCTCAGCAATGGCGGCCAGGGCTGGTCCAGAGGGTCCTTCCGACAGCCTCTGGGATGCTCGGGCCAGGCAGGACCAGGCTGGGCCTCTCGGCTATCCAGAAACCCACCCCCTCTCCTCTCTGCCCCTGACAGGGGCACTTGGCAATCAGGCCAGGCGCAGATTTGCCTCAGTGTGTCTGGCACCAAACTGGATACAAATCTCCCACCGATTTTATCTGCTCACCAGGTGGGCCAGCTGGCAGGCCCTCAGTTCTTTCTACCTCGCTGGTTTGGGCTTGGAAATCTAAAGAGGAGAAAAAATTCCATTTTGGTGGCAGTGATGGAGTCAGTCAGAAACTTAGGGTCTTGGATGCCATTATCTCTGGGTGGCTGCCATGACTCTAGAATAAGTCACTTCCTCAATTCCCCAGTTCACAGAAATCTGGGCTCTAAATATAGACTTGGCCACAATGGGGCGGGGTGGTGGGTGTACCGGGTAGCCAGAATGAGAGGTGGATAAAGACGGGGAACCGAGGACAGAATCTGAATCCTCTGAGCAGGCAGAAGGCTCCAGGCTCTGCCAATGGGGTTTACTTAATCTGTGACATGAAGAAGCTATTCGATTGAACTGTATGAAATTAACAGTATACTTGTATCTCTGACCTACAAAAACGGCAATTTCATATGACTCAGCCTAACGTGATCTACCCAGAAGATTATTTTAAGAATTAAACAAGATACTGTGAAGTGCTTAACACAGTGCCCGCATGTAACAAGCGCTAAATAAAATACCACCCTTATGTTATAATACATACTTTGTATCTCCTAGCTAATAATATATTGCCAATTACAATGGTGACCCTAAACGTTACCAGTTCTTTCTCGTGTTCTCCCCTTGTTGAACCCATAGCCACTTCCATTTATTGAACATGTAGCGTGTGCCTAGGATGGGTGTAAGCATCCTTCATTGTCAGCAACACTCAATGTCACCCATGGTCCCTGAGCATGCACCATGTGTAGGCATGGCATGAGGGCTCAGCATTCGTGTATACAAGGTGCATAAGCCAACGCTGTCACCGTGGGTCACTTCTCACTCTGAGCATCCTTGTGGGAAGGTCCTATGGCCGGATTAACTTGCAGCCACACTGTACTTGTGGTTGACTCTGAACTTATACTCAGCTTTAGTCATAAGACCAGAAGTCAACCTGGATTGAGACAAATGATTTTTTTTTAACCCCAGTATCGGAGTTTACATTAATACCTTAAATTTCACCATGGCACCCCCTCCGTGTCTTAATCCAGGGCTTGTTTGGGATCCTGACTCTGTTGTCCAGTGAGTTCACCGTCCTTGCGATAAGCAGGTTATCTGGATTCTTATGAAGGGATCCAGAAAGATGAAAACAAGGACATAGCCGAGGCCAGAGGTGTGTGTGTGTGTGTGTGTGTGTGTGTGTGTGTGTTTGACAATGTAGAAAGTCAGAGACCCTACCTGGTTGTCAATGCTTCTGTCTGGATTCAGACTTCACGGAGGTCTGATTTTGGTTCTACCACGTGTTAGTTGTGTGACCCTGGGCAAGTCATTTCACTTGTCTGGGCCTCAGTTTCCTCATCTGAGAAATGGGGATCATCATAATAGCCCTATCTCTCCAGGATGGGAAGAAGGATTAACTGAGACCGTGTGTGTGGAGGTCCCCGAAGTGCCCAGCAGCCACTTAGCACCAGTTCCTCGCCTGGCCAGCATCCCTCTTCTCGTGACAAAACTCCCAGAGCCCAGTTTCATGACTGCTGACTGGCGGCCCCTCCCCACCCTGCCCAGGGCCCTCCAACCGGAGTGACTTCCTCTCTCTGAACAGCAGTTTTCCCATCCATGAAAAAGCGACAAAACCTTAGTGGACAATTGAGAGCATTTGAGGAAATGTGTGTTACAAGGTCGACACTGGACCTCTTCACTGGTCTCTCACTGACCAGGTGGGTATATTGTAAAGGATGTTATCTTTTTTTTTTTTAAAGAAAAAAATATATGTATCTGTAGAAATTGGGAAA